TCGAAACGTCGCACTTTCGAAACGTCGTACTTGCGAAATAAATCGAAAAATGTGTGAAACAGTTTCAATTATTCAAAACTCCGTTCGAATAACCATTTAAACACACAAGTTTTTGTTTTTTGTTTCATGCAAAAAAGCGCAAAGCTATTAATTTCGAAACGTCGCGAAGCCCTTTTCCGAGCTCGAGCCATCAAACACAAAACACAGAATCAATAAATGAGTTTTCATTTCTCAATATGAGCAATGTGCAATATATACAAGCATTAATCAACCGGGAGCGAATTCTTCGGGGAGCAATAATATATGACACAGTAGGATGGCGTTAGTGTTAGAGGGGTAAGTAGAAAATTATTGGATTCTCCCGTTTAGTGGCATTGAAGGAGAGTCGACGAGTCGACGCATTCGGTGTTGGCGGCAGAGAAGACGGCGTTAGTCTCGGCACATGTGAAGTTGATGAGCTGTCCGGCGGAGCACTGATGGTAGGTGGCGGAGCAGAGGCCATCGGAGAAGAGCCCATTGGTGGAGCAGTCGAATGGAGTGATTGAAGTCTCATCGATGAGGAGGGTATCTGGAAATAAATCGTTGTTCTAAGCAAGGATCTAAAGTAGATGATTTCCTACCTTCGATAAGACACTTCAAGGAAGTCTGTGGGTAATCACAAATGAGAGTTTGCTCGTTGAAGACCAAGCTGGAAGGGCATTCGAAGATGTCGACGTGTCCGTTTTGGCAAGAGAGGACGCGTGGCGAGCATCCGATTGCGTGCAGTCCATTGTCCAAGGAGACACACTCGTTCTCTCCGGAAGCTTCTCCTGAAGCCTCTCCAGAAGCCTCACCCGATCCTTCCCCAGATTGCTCACCGGATGCCTCTCCAGAAGATTCTGAAACAAAATTACTAGGAAGCTAGCCCCCGGGTGTTCACCTACCTTCTCCAGAAGCCTCTTGGCACTCGTTGACAAGATCGTCGTAGTCGCATCTCTGGTTAGCTTGAGAGAACTTGAGTCCGGCTGGGCAGAACATGACGATGGCGCGTCCGTTGGTGCAAGCGGTGAATGAGGAAGAGCACTGTCCGAATGAGAAGTATCCGTCGTCCTCGCAAACTGGAGCTGGTGTTGAGAGTCCGTGGCACTCAGCAACGTCACGTGGCCAGTCGCAGACAAGGATTTCTGGATTGAAGATCAACGAGGCTGGGCAATTCATAACACGAGCGATTCCGCCGGAGCAGGTGAGGAAGTTTGGAACGCAAACTCCGTTTGGATAGATTCCATCGGTCTTTCCGTCGCATGTTGGCTCGAATTCGCCGGATCCCTCACCAGAGTTCTCACCGGAGTTCTCACCGGAGTTCTCACCGGATCCTTCTCCAGAGGTCTCTCCCGATCCGTCAATGATGATTTCACCATTGCACTCATCGACAAGAGCCTTCCAGACGCACTTTTGGGTGGCGACATCGTAGAAGAGTGGAGTTGGGCAGCTGAGGAAACGAGCGGTGTTGTCAGTGCAGAAGAAGTAATAGGTGGTACATCCGCCGGAAGAGTAGGCGCCGTCCTCGAGTCCTTCGCAAACGTTGGTTTCTTCTCCTGATCCCTCGCCGGAACCGGATCCTTCTCCAGAAGTTTCTCCTGAAGCTTCACCAGATCCTTCTCCAGAAGTTTCGCCGGATCCTTCTCCAGATGCCTCACCAGAAGCCTCTCCGGATCCCTCGCAGCCGACGACGTTGTGACGCCAATCGCAGATGAGAAGTGGCTCGTTGTAGATGAGATCGGCTGGGCAGTCCATGATACGAGCGATGCCACCGGAACACGTCAGAAATTGAGACTCGCAGTTGCCGATGGCATACAAACCGTCCAGAGCGTTAGTGCAGTCTGAAAAATACGAACTTTCAATCGAAAATCGATTTGCCGAGATGCGGTTACCTTGAAGAAACTGGCCGCTGGCAACGGTGGCGAGTGCGAGAAGCCCCAAAGCGACGATCGTCTTCATCCCCTGGAAACAAGGATTATGAAGGAAAATCAAGGAAATTTCAGGTTAAACAAGCGAAAAAATAGGCTGAATATCATCAAAAATCACTAGAAAAAACCGGAAACGAAAGAACAAGAGAAATAAGACTGGACGAATGACTGATGACAATGACTCAAGAACGATTTGATTTTCCAAACAATAACAATAACAAACGAAAATTCAGAAATTCCCGCCGAAGATCAAACGGGAAGAGATCAAAGAATTTTTATTGATTTTCAGTGTTTTCTCTGATGTTTTTTAAAGATTTCAAAGTTTTTTCGTTAATTTCCTATATGGTGCATAAAAAACCTGACAAAAATCACCTTTAAAAGCACCTTTAAATTTAGGCCTATTTTTTCAAAAATTGATAATGCGCGCGTTTTTCTGGGTGCAGCAGAGCGCGCTTGCAAGTTCCAAACTAGCGCGAGTTTCGAATTTCGAAAAAATCTTTGAAAAAAAGCTGAAAATTGATTGAAAAAATGATTTATTAGTCAGCAAACTAGAAAAAAATAGAGAAAAAAGAATTAAGAACGACGACAAGGTTGGCAAGCTTCTTGGCTCTTCAACGACTTCAATCCGCACAACTGCTCTTTCGGTGCCTTATTGAAAAGTGTGGCTTTCTTGTTGATAAATCCGTTAGGTGCCTGAAAATGTTTTAAGCTCATACGAATTTTAGACAAAACTCTCAACATCGGCAATGCTTTTCTCGCCTTTTTCATCAGATTCTGCCCTTCATTTGAGTCGGCACACTTTTTTATGCTGAAAAATCAATATTTCTGTTTTTTAAAAGTGGTTTTAAATCTTCTGACTTCAAAGTGACTCCTGCAGCTTCTTCCGAACAATCAATACTTCTTTCTACGCATTTTTCGAGCGACGGGGTGTCTGGATATTCGTTGAAACAGAGAATCGTCGGGAGGAAATTGCCTTTTATGTATTTTTGAGTGCAAGCAGCGTCCAATTCGGTGGAATCGAAGCATAATTTTCTAAAAAATAGTTCGAAATTTTAATTATTCTGGTGGCCGTGGCTGAAGGTCCCAAAACGACAGCTACCGTAAGTTTTAAAAATATTTTTCCATTTTTCACTGCTTGTCGTCGATTTTTTTTGTCATTTTTCTCCTGAAAAGTCGAAAAAATTAACCGAAAACGCATGAAAATCGAGAAAAAATCCACAAAGTACTATTTTTAGGTTACGGTAGTTATCGCTTTGGGACCTTCAGGCCTTTTTGTACCCGGTGTCCGCTTACCTATACCCTTTCTCATCGGTTACCTCACACACCGGCAAATATTGCAGTGTAAAGTTTGCCGGATATGGGTTCAATTTCTTCAAAAAGTTATTCAAATGCTTCAAATAATTCAGTGTCGGATAGACACCTTTCGAAGAATCCGCAATGATCACTTTATCATTACAGGATACTGTAGTAAGGAAAAGAACGGAAATTGAAAACACTAGGTGCATTTTCAGGTGGAAATGACCTTTCGAAAGTGTGGTTTTAGTTTATAAGGAGTTTTAAAAAGTTGTTAGACACTGGAATTGGTTGGAAAAGCGATAGGTTATATGGGAAATGCAAATATTCCGGGATAGTTTATATTGAGTTTTTCAATTTTCCAATTTCCAAGAAACATAAATATTGATACAAAGATCAAAACACAAAAAAAACTGTATAAAACTTTTTCACCATTAAAAAATTATTTTAGGAACAGAGACCATCGTAAATGTTCTTGTGGAAAGCCACTCTATACTCACACTTTGGCTCAATCATCTCGGTTTCTATGAGAGATACCAAAAATTTGTCAACTAATAAAATGTAGCTGATATCATGACAAGCATTTTAACAGTTAACCACTTTTTGTTATCTCTTATAGGAGCCGAGATAATTGAGTTCAAAGTAACAAAGCTTCATGGGCGCCCTCCTTCCTCGGCGCAGAAGCACCCTTGGTCACTTTAATGCGGCGTATCTCGGTTCCCGTAAAAGATATCAACATTTTGTGTATTGATGAAATGTTTGTAAGATTCTGAAAAGCATTTTTTAGGTGAAATACTTTCAATAGCTCTCAAAGGAACCGAGATAATTGAGCTCAAAGTGTAAGCTGCCGATTGGGTTACGCGGTTGCAGCCGGCAAACTTTGAGCTCAGTTATCTCGGCTCCTTTGAAAGATATCAACATTTTTTGTATTGAAATGTTTTTAAAATTCTGATAAGCATTTTATCAGTTGACAACTTTTTGATATCTCTCATAAGAACCGAGATAATCGAGCTCAAAGTGTAAGCTACCGGCTGAGCTACGCTGTTGAAGCCGGCACGGGTTCAATTATCTCAATTCCTGCAAAAGATATCAAAAATTTGTCAACTAGTAAATTGTTTACCATGATATCACTAACATTTCATTCATTAACAGATTTTTGATATCTTTCACAGGAAGTGAGATACATTAGCTCAAAGATACGGTAGTATAGGAGCGTTCCATTGGAGCATTTGCGATATTTAAGTCACAGTGACAGTAATTGATTGTTCGAGAAGGGTTGGTATTTATAACGTTATTATTACAGAAAATTTTTTTTCTAATTCAACAAATTAACAAAATTAAAAATAATAAATTGTGGATTTGACAAGAAAGATGACAAAATTTTCATTGCCACGACTGTGCTCCAGTCTCAGCACCCCATTTATCTGCCACCCTGATCTCTTATCAAGATGAAACGATGCTATAAATCCCCGGAGGTTTCTGGAAAACTCCACTCAATGTCGAATTTGCCAAAAACGCTCAACTGGCGCTCAGTCTCAAGCGATATCGGTACAACAAAAGTGTCGTTGAAAGCGGAAAATAAACGACTCAGAATGCAGACAATGGTAAGGACTCTGGAGGATCCGAGATAGCTACAGCAACCCATCGTTTGCAGCTATTCGTTGTCCTCTTCGCTCTTCTTCTTCCTGTCACTCAACAAGCAAAGTTGTCTGACTTTATAGACACGTATGTCAATGACATCGACCTCAGCTCTATGAAAACATGCGTTTTCTTGGGTGGCGAATCTATCGATCTAGTGGATCCTGGAGACGTGGATAAGGGACACAAGTGTACTGTAGACCTTCCTACTGTATCTGACGATGAAGTGAGTTTAGATTCTAAACTTTAGAACCAGATGAAGATAAATTTGATCCTTTGATTTTAGCGTCATGCAAAGGAAGTTTGTTCGAGCCGAATTCCCTACTACATTACTGCTGTCAAACATGGCAAAAGGACTAAATGCACATTCCGTAACTGATTCGAAATTAATCCTAAGTTTAATTGTTCTAATTTCCAGAAATCAATTTGAAATGCAAAAACGAAGGATACCAGCAGATCCACGGAAAGTGTTATAAGGTGACAAAGGCTAGATTCACTTGGCAAGACGCTCAATCCGCCTGTCATAATGAATTTGTGAAAGATTTCAAACCTCAAGTGGCCAATTACTACTATTCCGGACTACAAAACTACTTATGGGATATCACTGGCGTCTATGATGCATGGGTATCTGTTCCAGAATTGAAAGACTATTTTGAAAATCCTGGCAACTATAAAGCATTCTATGTGGACGCGGGAGCATACAAGTATGATGCCAGATCGGGCGATCTCCTCCTGGATGATCCCAATCAGAAGCATCAAGTTCTTTGTGAGTACACTCCTCCGATGACAAGAGCTGAGATGTTCTACCTGGCCAATGTGTACAGTGAAATCTATCCAATTGAAGTGTTTGCTGGTGGGGCCATTATTCCTTCTGCGAATATGGATACGTTAGTTGATTGGCTTCCATCTCTCTTTTCTTACATCATTTCTTACAGTATCCAACAAGTCGGTCCGTTCGGAAAAGTAGAACATTTCAGTACTAAAGTCTTCGATGAGAAATGTCTGTCAATTGGAAGAATCTTCAATGTGGAAAGTTATCCAATCACGGCATTGGAAGAGGAGTTTAATGATGTTAAAGATCATTTAACAAGTCAACGATTCTTTTTGACTAATGCTTACAAGAATGAGTGAGTTTCCGTGGGTTTCAATTATGCCATCGGGCGACTGTTCTAGCTTTGCCCCCGTGGCTCAGGAGAGCTCGTATTTCTACATGAGGATGCAAAATGCTTTTTGATCTTTTTTGAAGGGGGAGGTTTTCTTCACGTGTATTGTTCCTAGTTTCTGTTTTCTGATTCTCAGGACAACAATATTATATTTTTCTGTGACATTTCAAAAAAAAATGAGGGAGATAAAAAAAGGAACGTGGATCCACAGTAGTGCGACTGAAGCAATTTAGTGTGGATTCGAATATATTCCCATCAAAACTAGAAGAGGAATATGTCGGACTTTTTTCAGATAGCAACCCTTCCCCCGGAACTCTTGTTCGTCCTTAGAAGTACTTTCAGCCTTTAAAAAATTGGCTTAGCGCCCTAAATCAGCTGACATCTAGAAGCAAGGCTCCCTGCGAAAAATTCTCTCTAACGTTCATTTTTTTCAGACAGCAATGATATGTACATTTAAAAAAAACTACAGATTTTTCAAGAGAACACAAACTTTAGGAAGAATAAAATAATTTTCAGAATGTTGAAAAATTACCAAAATCTGAATACCTAGGAAGAAAAAATAATTTTTCCTCTTCCTAGCGACATTTTTGTGTTAAATTTTGAATTCGAATTCTGGTCATGCAAATTTTTTGAATTTGGCACCATTTTTCGGAGAGCCCAATAAAAGGGAAGGCCTATAATTTTTTCAAAAAATGTGAAAAATTCCAGTCAAAAAGTACTGAAATTAGTGGAAATCAGTAAGATTTTCACATTTTTCGGTGAAAATTTGTTTCAATTTTTTTGTTTAAAATCATAGGTTTAGGCAAAAACGCATTGTTAACCTTCCACTGGGACACCTTAATTTTGGCGCCAACTTCAAAAAGTATCCCAATTCAGAAATCATCCTCGGAATTCCAAAAATTTCTGAAATATTAGAAATTTAGAATATTCTTAAAATCAAAAGAAATACATTTTTTAGAACCAGAAACTCAGAAATCTTGATTCTAGTATACCGTATTTCCTCTAATAGAAGCCCACCTCCATTTGAAGCCCACCCCGCGAGGTTCATCGAAAAATAGAAGCCCACACTCCAAGCACATGGGCTTGTATTAGAGAAAATACGCTGATTGAAAATTCAATAATTGATTGAGTAATTGATAATTGAATAATTGATTGAGAATTTTTGGAACTGTGATTTTAGAACTCGACAATTTCTCGGAATCTCAGATTTTTTAAATTTTAGATTTTTTTCCCGGAATTCCAGAATTCCTGAATTTGAGGATCTTGGAATCTCAGGATTTCATAAATTCGGAATTTTGAAATTTAGAATTGCATAATGAAAATTTCGAATTATCCAAAACACAGAATTTCAGAATTCTTAACTCCCGAATTGTAAAATTTCGGATTTTTTTTGAATCAATTTTTTTTGAAAATTGAAAAATAGAGGCCCATGGGCTTTTATTAGAGGAAATACGGTAAATTATTAACACTTTTCAGAAATTCACACTCATTGAAATTTTGAGAAAGAAAAGGAATTATTCACATTTTCACGTCAAAAAAAGGAAGTTATTTATATATCAAAAACAACGAAGATTTTTTCCGATCGAATAGCGTACTGGTTTACAAGACGGTGTGTGAAGCGATAGACCCGAGTTCGATCCTCGCTCGAAGCACCGGATTTTTGAAGGGGCGGAAAGGGCCAAAAATGCCCAAAAAGCCCTTTGCATCTTCATGTAGAAATACGAGCGCGCGTGGCTCAGTCGGTAGCGTCACCGCCTCATCAATGTTCGTCCCACATGTTCAACTCCTCGAGAGGCTTAATGAACAAAATTTCAAGATAGTTCTCTTTTCAAGCCCAGCGATAATATCGAATGTTTCGAAAATTATAAAAATTATAGCGATTCTGAGAAAAAAGATATCAGAAAAAAAAATGAAAAAAAAAAGAAAAAGAAATTCAGAAATTCAAACATTTGAAAATCCAAAAATTCAGAAATTCAGAAATTTCGAAATTCCGAAAGTTGGAAAACTAAATCCTAAAAGTCCAAAATAAAATTTTCTGAAAACCAATGTCAGTGCAAACTTCTATCTAAAAACTTACCTCCGTGCAATCGCGCTCCACAGGCCAGCGGGTTTTTATAATTAAATGAATAAGTCAAAAACTTTTCAGTGGATGCCATAAGGGAGGCTACCGACAAGTCAACCACGACGGAAAGGCGTACCAGGTTTACAAGAAAGGAAAAAACGACAATTCTCAAAAAGGAGATTTTTGCGATGCTCACAGTTTCAGTCTCCACCAGACTGGACGATATCCAACGATGGCTTCAGCGAGGGCTCCAGTTCTGTGCACACTTCGTTAGTAACCCTATGTGATGCTTTTTTATAATATGCGTAATTGATTTAGACACATTCAACTGGAACCACGGAGCATGTCCTGCAAGACCAAAATGGAGTTCCAAACCGGTCACATTCAAAAGAGCATACAACACAGTGTTCTGTCACTACGTACGTTTGTTTTTGATGTTTTAATTCTGGAACTGTTCATATATTTTCTTAGATTAACGACAATACTCCTGCCACAAATCACGAAGCACAGAAACGCTGTGAGGAGTTCGGAACTGGACTCACTGGTTTCGACTCGGCGGAAGAGTTTGAAGCTGTCAGAAAAGAGTGTGAGTATCGTCAACAGGAATTATCGATAAAATCGTTTTCAGTGAAGCCACAATACCCGCCAGGAGAAGGCGAATATTACCCAAGAACTCCGTATAGGTTGTTGTCGTCGGGAACAAGAAAAGTAAACGGAATATCGCAACAGGTAATAGATTGAAACATACAAAACATACTCATTTTATCCATTTAAGGTGGATGATCACTACTGGCTTGGAGGTGTCTCTCCGTGTGAAACGCATTGTTTCGAGAGAACAGGAGAGAGAGAAATCGCCGGTTGGAATGATGCTGTTGCTATCAATAATTCATTTCTGAACACTTACAATCACAATGGATGGGCTTGGAAAATTGACGGCAAACAGTTTGTATCATTCCGTACTGACAATAATGCATTCCATGTTCAGTAGGTTTTCCTTCATATTTCTTCCCGTCATTCTAGCTTTTCAGTAAGCCCCCTAACCCTTATACGTACATGTTCTTTGTCTGTGGTGTTAGTGCTCCTCTGGAACGTTCTGAAAAGCAGAGAGGCAAAGTTTAGTGATCTGCATTGAGAATCCTCGGTTTTTTCTGGTTTTGAATGAAGTTTTTGATTTGGTGTATTACTGTAATTGTTTGTCATAATCCTATGCAGTACCGATTTTGAAGGTAGAAGGGTCTATCAAATGCATTCTGGGTGATCTTTCTATGGATCTACAGTACCCGTCAATAAGATATAAAAAGCCATTTCGACCATTTTCAGGAGTGTGGAGCTCGGTTGTCAAGGTTTTGATTTTTTGAGAATTTTGGAGGGTGTAGAACAGACATAGATTGAAAACTTCGCAGTCACAGAATTTTTCGAAAATTCCAAAATTTTCAGCCATTTTCCGTTTTCTGAAAGACATCTGTTTTTATTGTTTTCAGCAGAAAAACAGACCAAGAAGAGGTGTCTTTGAGAAATAGGCAAAACACTGAAAAACTAGGAATTTTCAAAAAATTCTTTAAATGCAAAGTTTTCAATCTAGGACTGTTTTACACCTTCTTGAAAAAAAGAAAGTTCACTCCAAAAACCACGAAACTAAAGCATTTCTCAACCAATTGAATTATTGCCCGAACGCCATTAAAATTTTCGATAAAAGTTCTATTTGGTTTCCTTTGGGAAGTCTGAAAAGAAGATTTATTAGATATTAAAAGAAAATCCAATTTATCTCGATTCCTGTGGAATTTATGAAAATGTTGATAACTGATAAATTGTTTATCATAATATTAGCACTATTTTATCAGTTGACATATATTTGATATATTGCATAGGAACCGAAATAAATTGGCTCAAACGCGACGGAGTGCGGGCTCTTTTAAAAGCCAACATTTATAACTTACCTTTGATGAGTCTGATCCCCTAGAATTTGTAGTGACAATTGAAAAGTGGATTTTTTTGAAATTCTCAGAAGCTCGGAAAACCAGCTTGCGTTATCAATCTGTTTGATTGGGTCTGGAATTCTATATCGTGCATTTTCTTTTAAAAAACCACAATCCTGCTCTCAAATGTTAAAACATTCAGATTCCATCAGGAGAAGTTGTCCATTTTTTAGCGTTTCAAAATCTGGTTATCATGATCTCCAGGTTATGAATTTACCGAATATGATATTCTCCCAAGCTTTCCATCATCTGGAGGATTGATCTGAAATTTTCAATTTTCATTTTACTAATAAATAAATTTATGAGAGAATTCACCAAAAAATTATTACAGAGTTTCATTTAATCAATGTTATTACTAACCAGCCTGTTCTCCGCGTCTCAGGCGCTTCAAACAGCTAACTGGTCGGCGTGATTTGACCTTTTGTTCGTTGCTTCGCGACTCACTCTTTTTTTTAATGTCACGTCAATTTCTATTTAATTTTCAAGCTTTTCAAAATTCGAGGACAAACTGAAAGAGAGAGAGAGAGAGAGAGAGAGAGAGAGAGAAACAAAGAGACGCAACTTCATTTATTTATTATAAGGATGATGACTAAAAACTATTTAAAAAACTGAAATTTTGAAGAGATCTCAAGGAAATGTGCAGAGAGTGAGAGACTTAGAAAAATAAAAAAAATAAAAAATGACACATACAGGGTGGCTGAAAAGTATTGAGACACTTGTTTTTTGTTGTATTTTCAAAAATGGAGTTTCAACAAAAGAACCAGATTTATTTTTTCAACAAATGATAGTAATAGAAAAGATATCAGAGGAGATATTCGAAGTTTGAGCCTTCGGCCTTGATGCACGCCTTCAAACGAGCTGGAACAGAAGCGACGGTGCGCCGGAGGTAGTCATCGTCAAGATCATCCCATGCTTTGAGCAAAGCGGCCTTCAGTGAATCCACATTTGGGTGCGATCGAGCCATCACCTTTTCCTCCAAATATCCCCAAACGGAAAAGTCGAGTGGATTCAGATCGGGCGAGGAAGCGGGTCACATGTCCTTGCCCCAGTAGCCAGGGAAATGAGCGTCGAGAACAGCTTTCGTGGATTTCGAGCCATGGGACGGGGCCCAATCTTGTTGAAGAATGAAGGGTTGCTGGCCAAAGTGGCTAGTGACCCACGGACGTAAAACATCCATCAACACCAACATTTGGTACACATCCGAGTTGATTTTCACATTTCTATCAATGAAAACCAATGGGACTTTACCTTCCGACGTCAATCCAGCCCACACCATCACTGACTTTGGAAAAAGTCTCTTGTAGGCCAGACGACGTTTTGGGGACTTTGCTTCGTCCTTTGACAACAATTGCCGAGCATTCTGTCGGTTCGGAAGCGGCTCAACCGTAAAAATTTTCTCATCAGTCCAAATGACTTCAGAGAGGCGGCGCACCTTGAGTGCGTCGAGCAACTTTTTCGCTTTTTCGAGCCGATTCTTCTTGGACTGTTCTGTGAGGTATTGGCCACGAAGGAGCCGATAACTGTTCAGACCCAAGTCTTTGTTCACAATGGATTGAACCGATTGTCTTGAGATTCCGAGCGATGAAGCCATTTGGTTCATGCTGACCGCATCATTTCGTGTGATTCTCTTCTTGATGATGCCACGAGTCCGGCGAGTGTTGACACTACGAGGTCTTCCGCTTTTCTTAAGCTCCAACACATGTCCTCGATCTTTCAATTGTTGCACAACTCGATAGACAGTTGCTCTCGGAAGAAGAAGTCTTCGAGCGATGTCACCGGTGGAGATGCCGTCGTTGAACAGCTTGGCAATGGTTTGGCGATGAGGAGAAGCTCGCATAACTTTGTGAAGAGATAAAGTGATGGGAAATGGCTCTAATGTCGGCTTATATACGCTCCCTATTTTCGAAAATACGATTGGCACGGTGCCAAGAGCCATCATAACAAGTGTCTCAATACTTTTCAGCCACCCTGTACAGAGAAAAAGACACAATTAATGAAAAACACATTATTAAATTATTTAAACCAATTAAAAAAATCCCGTTACTCCACAACTACAACCGCTGATGCTACTTTGTTATGAAGAAGTGGTGGCTCTTCCATGAATCTCTTAATCAAACTAATACGCAATTCTTGATTCATTTTGCTAATGTCATCCTCGAGAAGATCCTTGAGCAATGGCAAGCTGTCGACACGTTCTATGACCAAGTACTGAAAAATTATTATTGAAACTTTAAAAAACCCCTAAAATATTTCTCACCCCTAGCTCCAGCAAGTTGAATCGATTTGCCAATCTGAATTTTTCAGGCAAATCCATCTCCGAAGTGATAAGAAAATCCTCACAGGGTTTGAAGACAACTGATGCTTCTAGGCTCGCGGCTAAAACAAGAAGAGCTTCCACATTGTGTTCTGAAAGTCATAGAAATCATTTAGAACATATGAAAATGTTAACAAACCCTGAATAACACCAGATTCGTTGTAGATGAGCTCCAGAAAGTCTTGGAATACGTCAGAAGTGACGTCGTGCAATTTTAATGAAGGAATACTGCCTTCTTCTGCTTGTACGGGAAATTGTTTGAAGAAGAATGGAGAGTGGGTTTTAAGGATCTGAAATATTTCGACCTACAGTACCGGCTAAACTAATAGTTAACCAAAAATGTAAATTTACCTATTTTCAGCTGAAAATAGCCAAGTTTGGACTTTTACAAAATAGAGTAGATTTTGTTGGAAAAAGCTAACAACTTGCAGATTTACTAAACAAAAATAGAGCTTCAATTTTGTAGTCGTAAACTTTTTGGTACAAAATCACCCAGATGAGATATAACGCTTTAAACCAACCAAGTACTAATTCCAAATCGTGACACTTTTGACTCATAGTCAGTTGGGGGAACTTATACAAAAAATTGCCAACTACAAAAGTAAAACTCTATTTTTTTAGTGGTCCTGAACGTTATCTGGCTATTCTCCAAAAAAACATTACAATACTTTTTTACAACCAAAAACTAATAAATCTATCGTACTCTTCAATAGAAGCCCACACAAACCATTCACTTTGAGCTTAATTATCTCGGTTCCTGTGAGAGATATCCTAAAATTGTCCACTGATAAATTATTTATCATAAAATTACCAACATTTTATCAGTTGACGCATTCTTGATATCTCTTACACGAACCAAGATAATTGAGCTCAAATTGCATGTATACGGTGGGCGCATTAAAGGCATACTGTAGCTTTAGGCATGAGAATTGAGACGCTTTCCCACTGCTCATTTCTTAAAAAGTGACTCACAAACTTGTCCACATAAAACCTGGTCTCCTCCACTTCCACCGTAGCATTTGAAAATTGAATGTTGGTCTCATCAAACACCTTTAGAATCGCCTTCATTCTTCTCATTCTTCTGATTGTGATATCAAATTTTACAGGTAAACCAGCTGAGGTGACATAGCCGTTTGGACCCAAAAAAGAACTCCATCGCATTCCAGATAACTTGAATCCGGCAACTCTGGATTTATGGCTGGCTTTGAATCGAAATTGCTTATTTTTAAGTGTTTTATGAGTGTCATTCGGGCTGACATCAACCGAACACTCGTAGTCAATCGTCCAATCGGTGCGTTTTTTAAATTCAACACGCACCGAAATGAATGTGTGATCTTCGTCTTCTCGTTTGATGTACAGGCTCCTAGAAATATTAAATTTCTAAGATTTTTTTCGTTTGAATTCAAATGGCTCACCATGGTACTCCAAAAAACTTTTTGACCGGCGATTTTTTGGTTTCTCCAACGTCCATATTGGCAACTGGGAAGCAGTGCTCCAAAATGAAGTGACGACCTTCTTTGTTCATTTTTTTGATTCTGCAACATTTTTAATTTTTTTCTTGAACTTGAAAAATGAAATTTGAAGCAGATACGGGGTGCCTAGACCCGTAAATTGATCTTAAAATAACACATATAAACTTTGAGCTCAATTATCTCCGTATCTGTAAAAGATATCAAAATGTTGCCTACTGATAAATTGTTTATCATAATATGAGGAACATTTCATCAGTTGAAACAATTTTGATATCTTGCACAGGAACCGGGAGAAATTAGCTCAAAGTTGATAGGTGCCCTTCTATTACAGGTTTCATACACGGTGAAATAATCTGGAAGATTTTAATAGACTAAATGAAAAGCCCGCTCAACTTAGACATATATATTATATTTTTTTTTTAATGAGGCCAGACACAAAAGTCTACGGAGTTTTCTTGGAGCGAGAATATGTATTCTGACGGAAAATCGTGCGATTGCGACCAATGCGCGCTACTTGACGAGCATTTTTTTTTTCAATATACACTAGATTTCTTCACTGTTTGGCAATTACTCCCGACTTTTTCTAGTTATTCGGCCATTCTAGGATGTCGCCGCATGAAAACAGAAAAAAAAAACGAAAACGCACAAATGGGAATCGAACCCGCGATTGATAGACAAGCGCGTTCACCTCTACACACAGGTCCTGGGCGATGATGCGCATAAAGGACTCGATCCATATGCGATCCTCTAGAAGTCCGTTTGACACATATCGCGAACAACGAGCTGCGATGAGTCTCATATGTGTGCAATGCGGGAGAGGCTGAATCGAGTGTTCCGAATGCGCGCGTATCCTAGATGGATTCTGGGTGGGTGGGCGATATGTGCGATATGGGTCTGATACGGTAGGCCGACTACAACACTCCGAAATCCCGGATGCGCCCATTGTTTACCGTAAATCCACACCGGGAACTTTGTCAATTTTTCGTCAATTCGAGCCTACATTTCTGGTTTTTCGATTATTCCTTCGATGTTTTTTGTGAAAAAGAATTATGGCAGACTAAAAAATCGCTGAATTCTTGCAGGAACATGTCTTTCACTCGTTAATTGCTATGTTTTTCGCCAAAATAGGTGATATGAGATTTTTTATTTCACTTTGTAATTATTGTAAAAATCGTATTTTCAGGTGGAATAAAAGGTAAGTTAATAAGTATACAATAATTACAAAGTGTAAATTATAAAAATTTTCAATTTTTCATGCAATTTCAAAAAAAGTGAAAGTGAGACATATTTTTTAAACAAATGAAAAAAAACAATTTTTAGCGATTTTTTTCCCATTTTGTTCTGTTTTTGATTGCATATCAAATTTAAATAGAAACTGCCCTAAGTCTTTTTCAAAACCAAAACATTGACTTCCGAAAAATCAGTAATATGTCGTTCAAAATATAAAAGAATATGGAATAATAAAGGAAAAGTACGAAATCGGAAGACCTGAACAAAATCACATCACAATAGAACTTAACTGATACTTCTAGGAACCCCCAACCAACGTTTTAGTTCATTTCATCGAGTGCCAGCAAGCCAGGCGAGGAGATGCTTTGCGGCGGTGGTGTGCCCCATATGCCCCGTATATGCCCCATACCGGCGTCCTTTCCCTGTACCCAATTCATCGGCGCGTCCTCCGTCGCCCATCCATTATGCGTATGCGCGCCCAGGACCTGTGCACCACAGGCGGGCTTGTCGTCTACTGCCACTAAAACGATTATGAAACGAGGAGTCGGCGCCGCTTGGAAGAACGGTCGCTTTCTCGCTTGTACCGTAACAGAGAGTTATGGTTTGGTGTCCATTGTTATTTTCTGACTGTACTGTGCCATATATCAGAAAACTAGAATTTTGAAAATTTTCATGTCTGGCCTCCTTTAAGGTTATAAGAAATTAAAATTTTCTTATGAACTTAACTTTGACCTTGCAGAATAACTCACCAAAAAGATCCAAACTCAAAACCTTGTAACCAATTTCTAAATCACTGAAAATCGTATGGAAAAAAATTAAAAGAGAGTATATATAAGCAGATATTTTAGGGAGTTAAAACCCAGGAAACATTGATAAATGTGAAGAAAAATTTCAAAAATATAAGAGTTTTATTATGATAAAAGCTATTTAAATCCATTGAATTGAGAGTTGGACCTTCCAGTAAAAAATGGTTGATAATGTGAATGGGAATTAGTGGACATTTTTACAGAAATGGATCAAAGGGTATTTTAGAAGGCAAGTTATAATATTGCAAGACAGGGAATTGAACTTGACACTGTAAAAAACAATGCAACTATATTATCATCTACTGAGCAGGTGTTTCACCGTGTTTTAATATCGTCTAAATGAAATGCGTGCGATAAACGTAATTCTACAGTATAATTATCGTTTGGTCTCGACTCGAAAGCTTCAAGTTGAACTGCTGAGTCGCTAATTTCTTGGAAACATCCGGAAACAACACCGTGGTTCTCCCCGCAGCACCTCCATTCTATCCAATACTTTTCTCGACATTATATAATTTTTACTTCGAAGAACTTTTTCGAAGAGGAAGGACTCGAGAAATTTGGCATCAGTAATTCGATCAACCAACGAATCCTGAAAATTGTTGATGAGTTTAGACGAATCAGATTCTCACCTGTAGTTCTTCCAAATGATAATCGTTCGAAAGATTGAGTTTTTCTCTCATCTTAATGTTACTCTCGGCATTTAACAAGTAATGTTCGCATTTTTCAAGCACAGTTCGAGCTCCACAGAAAAAGGCGAAAGAAAGAATGCGTCCAATGTTGTGGTCTGTAAAAAACCACAGATCAACGATGTAACTTTTTTTCGTTTTTGGTTACCCATGATAGATCCTGGCACGGCATGTAGAACTTCTAGAAAGTCTTGAAAAATTGTTGGATGCACACGGTATACTTTTAATCTATCAGGTTGGGTCTTGTAGAACAGTTTAGGACACTGGCTGAGCAGATACTGTAACTTTTCAAATCATGGGCAGCATATTAAAACAAACTCACTGATTTAGACACATAAAACTCTTCTTCTTCAACCTGTACTATACAATCTGAGCATTCGGAATTCGAAATATCAAAACGTTTCAAAGGTCCCTTTAACCCATTCGTATGGTGGACATTTATGACGACGCGAAGAAGTAGAGACCCTCCATCGGCCATCGAAATAACTTCACTCAAAGGAAGAGAAAACTTAGCTCCAATACTTGGATCTTCTGCTTCTACTTCAATCGTTTTCCTGATGGATTCTTCTAGACAATGTCTCGTCCGTTTACCGTTCCATTCAAAACGCCAAGTAACATTTAATCCAATCTCGTTTATAACTCGATCATAAAAATGTAACGAAAAATTCATTTGATCACCATCAATTGTTCCTTCGTGTGCGCTGAAAAATTTTTTAAAATTAAAAAAAAACGTATTTTTTGTAATCAATTGTTTGAATTTTTGTTCTATTGGCTAGTACTGAATTAGGCATCATTATATTTACTTTAAAACCCAAAATTCGTACACTTTCAACTAAAAAAAACACAAGTTTTCGCACAATTGATATGAAAGAATAAAGTCTTGAAAAATGATAAAAGTAGTTGGAAACTCAAAAACTTGTTTCTGTTGCTTTGAGCTCAATTATCTCGATTCCTGTGAATGATATCGAAAAATTTTCAACTGATAAAATATTGACCATAGCATCACTAATATTTTCTCAGTTGACAAATGTTTGATATCTTTTACATGAATTGAGATAATTGGATTTAAAGTTTACGGTTTGGGTGCATTGAACGCTGCTCTAAATAGTTTCAAATTTTCCACCTTTTTCAGACTCACTAAACAAATCCAGCATGGAAAAAAATTCTGTCAAATGCTTTCGGTTGCTGCTGACTTCGGACATGATCATACTCCAGCAATTCCACTTGGTCTCGCAAGCCAATCATTATTCGTTTTTCCATTTCTGAATGCCTGAAGAAAACTTTGAAATATGAATGAATAACGTTAATTGTATTTGAATGAACAGATATTTTCGGGAGTTGCAACCCGGTAAAATTTAAAATATAGGTAAAGAAGAGTCGAAAAAAATATGAGACCGTTTCATTTTAATCAGAGATTTGAAGCATTGAAAAATGTTATGGAATTCGTTAAATATCACAGGAAATGTTATCAATGTTATCAACACAAAAAATATATGAAACAGAAAGAACCAAATAGTTTGTTTAATTCAAAAAAAAAAAGATTAAGTTGGAGATCAATTTCTATTACATATTGGTGTCCGAGTTGTTCTCGAAGACACATCAAGTTTTTCCCGAAGAGCTGCAACTGCTTGTTCACTGAATCCATAGTTTCGCTGAACCATACAATACGCTAAGTCCTTCGAAACTTGGCTCACACACCAATTCTGAAAACTCCATATGTATACAATTACCATTAAAACTACTGTTATTGGAGGGCCCATATATCTCGGTTCCTGTGAAAGATATCAAAAATTGATCAACTGATAAAATATTTGTGATAATACGACAAACATGTCATCAGTTGACCTCTTTTTGATACCTTTGACAAGAAGTGAGATATGTGAGCTCAATCTTGACAGTATGGGGGTCATTTTATTACGGGTTTTGTATATTAGAAATGCCTCTCCCTAGAAAATTGCCCTTTTTTGCAGTTTTGCACATTAGAAAAAAATCTGGTGAAGCGATATTTTCGTTAAAAAATATGTAGGTGTCCATTAATTGTAAATAAGAGTTGATCAAAATATCCGCAAGCGTTTTTCGAATAAAGAAGTTCGCAAAAATACAGTAAACCGTTAACTTTGAGCCCATTTATCTCGCTTCTTGTGAAAGATATCAAAAATTATAACAAATAAAATATTGGTGATATTATGATAAACATTTTATCAGTTGACCACTTTTTGATATCTTTGACAGGAAATGAGATATGTGAGCTCAAAGTTTGATGTTGGAGATGACATTCTATTAGAGAGTTTACGGTTGATGGGTCGGCTCTTCTTTTTTATTTTCACAACAATGTGACATCCCTTCTAAAAATTCAAATACTCACCTCAAGATCTAAGAGATCAAACTCATTAGCCAACTGAAACTTCATCTTCAACAAAATTATGTTTTTCTGTTTCATTAGAAAGAGCTCGCATTGTCTTGTCACTGTTCGTGCTTTCCATAGCTTGGCTAGTCGGAGCAGATAAATAACGTTGTAGTCTGAAAATGATTTTTTATCTTTCTAGTCATTCTGAATATCCTACCCATGATGACATCTGGAACCAAATACAAAACTTCCAGAAATTCTTGAAATAGTGACGGATCCAATTCGTTTGTGATCCATTCTTTGGTGATGTTCTCTCGAGTAAATTTCTCATGGAGTACTGGGCAATGTCCAGTTAGATACTGTAATCAATTGTAAACTTGGAGGAGGGCATAACCTAAATAAAGCTCACCTTTTTCGAAATGTAAAACTTCTCTCCTTTGGCCTCTACTACAAAATCCGAGCATGATGCGTTGGACTCACCAAAATCTTTTGATATAAATTTTTCGATATGTGCAATATTCAGCGATATTTGAATATTAACACTGGCTCCAGTGTCTCCTGCTTGCATGACATTTTCCACTAAATGTGTTTGTTTGCAACCGAGTTGACCCGCCTGAACCTCGTCATGAGCAATCGAAAGATTGCCTAGCTTGTCTTCTTCATTATCTCCGAATGAAAAGCTTGCACTAAGTTTGATAAGACAATTTTCGGTAAAGTTTCCGATCACTCCAAACTCAACTTTGTCATTCAGATGCCTCCATTTAAGCAACCTGTAATAATTGAAAATAATTATGTTCTAAAAAATGCCCATTTTATATATGCACTTTGAGCTCAATTATCTCAATTCCTATGCAAGATATGAAAAATCTGTCAACTGATAAAATATTGGCGATATTATGATGAACAATTTATTAGTGGGGCACTTTTTGATATCTTTTGAAGGAACCGATATAATTAAGATCAAAGTTTGCAAGTATGGTGGTGAGGCAAACAGCCAACAGCGTGCAAGCGCGCTAGACGATATGTGCACTTTGAGTTCATCTTGGTGCTCATAAGAGATATCAAAAGTGTGTCAACTGATAAAACGTTGGTGATTTTATGATAAACAATTTATCAGTTGACAAATTTTTTATATCTTTTGAAGGAACCGAGATATTTGAGCTGAAGCGCATACATGAATGGCAGGCTTCTATTAGATCATTTACGATGAAAATGAGCAATTTAAAGGCTCACCATGACAACCCATGTGAATCTGTGTATGTTGTTCCTCCGTCACTTTGCATTAAAACCAGAGTGACACTCGTTTTCCAGGACTCTATTCTCTCTGGAATTTCCATTTCTAAAAAATCTGAAAACCAGCTATCAGAGATTGTTAAAATTGATTTTAAAGAATGATCAGGGAGTTGAAACCCATTTTCAAGAAAAAAACAAATTAAAAAATAACTTTTGGTTTAATGAATATTGTAACCGAGAACTGAAACCATGAAATCATTTTTATAAGGGCAATTCGTCATTTTATAAGTCAAAATATCAAGTTAAAAAGAAAACTGTTTGACCCTCTCCAGAATCTTAATTGTGAATTCTGGTTTCAACAGCTCAACTGACGCTGGTAATGCTTCTTTGAGCGTATGGGCACTGCACACAAGCGTTAAAGTTCGATCCTGGGAAAAATTCAAGTTAAAAAAAAATTGGAAATAGAAAAAAAACATACCTGCATCTCTTTTGAATCATATTTATTAGCCAAATGAGTATAGTATTTCTGATTAATGTTGTGTTTGTTCTTTTCAATAAATGCGAAGAGTCTTCTGGTTGCTGTTTCCGTTCCCAAGTAATCGGCTAGATCCAAAAGGGCCTCCAAGTTAAACACTGAAAGTTTGTAAAAGGTTTTTTTTTGGAACAAATTAGGCATGCAAAGTTTGGGGCAATTAATTCGGAAGGTACAGCAATTTTAGGGGCATTGGGGTACAAAGCAATTTATGGGGTACATAATCCTCAATTCGGGGATCAGACCTGAAAAATTCGAATTTTAAACCTATAGACTACTTTAAACCCCCTTGCACCCTCCAAATTATGTGCCAGGGTTTGGGCATATTGCTCAACCGTTGCCTGGTTGTTCTAAACTCACTTGAAATGGTATCTTCTCCGTATAGAAGTTCTAGAAGATCTTGGAAGACGTCCGCATGGATGGGTCCACAATCGAAAACGTTTCCACCTGCTTCATTCATAGGAATATTGAACATACTGTTGAGAAATGTGGAATGGGAAGCCATGTGCTGTAAATTTAGAATTTGAAAAGTTTAGAGCTCAAATACCTGTAATAAAAGAGCCCCTACAGTGTCAAGTTTAATGTACCGTATTTGCTATGACAGAAGCCCACCCTATACTGGCATTTTGAGCTCAATTTATCTCAGTTCCAGTCAAAGATATCGGAAATTGGTCAACTGATAACATGTTTATCATGATGTGACCAACATTTTTGCAGTGGACAGATTGTTGATATTTCTCACAAATACTGTGTCAATTGAGCTCAAAGTGATTAACCGTATTTGTTCTCAAAGACGCCCATCATATACCCTTTCAGCTCAATTATCTCGGTTCTCATTAAAGTTATTAAAAATGTGTCAACTGAGAAAATGTCTATCATAATGCAACCAAAACTTTTTTAATTGACAAAACGTCCACATTTTTTTGGAGAATGTGAAACAAATTGGCTCAAAGTTGAGGCCCATAATTCGGAGGGTACAACAATTCGGGGGTACAAGGGGGTACAAAGTAATTTAAGGGTACAAAATCCACAATTCGGGTGTACAAACTGAGCCTTTTTTCCGGTGTTTTGTACCCTCGAATTGATGATTTTGTACACCTAAATTGCTTTGTACCCCAATGACCCCTAAAT